AGACGCAGCTCAGTGCTCCGGGGCCTCCCCCAGCGCACCCCTCACCCAGACGCAGCTCAATGCTCCGGGGCCTCCCCCAGCGCACCCCTCACCCAGACGCAGCTCAATGCTCCGGTGCCTCCCCAGCGCACCCCTCACCCAGACGCAGCTCAGTGCTCCGGGGCCTCCCCCAGCGCACCCCTCACCCAGACGCAGCTCAGTGCTCCGGGGCCTCCCCCAGCGCACCCCTCACCCAGACGCAGCTCAGTGCTCCGGGGCCTCCCCCAGCGCACCCCTCACCCAGACGCAGCTCAGTGCTCCGGAGCCGCGCTGACCCCTGTGGCCGGGGCCGGCGGTTCCCAGAGCAGAGGCACCGTGCAGCTTCCCATTTCACAGTAAGTTGTGGATATTTCTCTGTGAGGGAGACGGAAATCCTAGTTTACGTCATTTGGGCACCAATTCATGTTTATAGTGGAATGACCTATAAAACAGGGAGCTGCCGCTATTCACTTAAAATAGAAGAAAAAATACTTTTGTTGGTGGACTGGCCACAAAGAATTCGTTATGAATAGAATATATATAGATAATATATATTAAATACACTATATATATGTATATGTGAATATACGTACACACACACAATGTTTACAGAACTAGAACTGCCTTCTAGTGAGAAAGGGTTCAGACACCCCATCTCACAGTCGGAGACACTGAGGCTCAGAAGTCGAGCAGTTCCCAGAAGGTTCCACAGCAAGTAGAGGGCTGGGATTGTCCTGCACAAGACTATTTACCCAGCAGTAGTCGGCCAGCATCCAGGAGTGGGCGCACGTCTCTGGGGACAAAGTGCTGGGGGGGCAGTTTCCGTGGGCGCCTGGCCCACAGCAGCCTCCAGGACAGGAGGGTCTCGGAGAGCGCGAGGGAGCACGTGCGGTGACATGTCGCCGAGAACACGCGGGTGCGCCGTGCGGGCTCAGGTCTCAGACCTGCACACGCTGTGCAGGCCCGCGGGGGTCTCCCTGGGGAAGTGGCTCACGTCGCATCACCGGAGCGACGCAGCTCAAACCACAGTGAGCGCCCCTCTCACCTGGCGGAAAGGCGTCAACACAGCCAACAGGTGTCGGCCAGGGTGTGGAGAAAGGGGACTGCTGGGAATGCGGACTGGCAGCCACCATCGAAAACTGCAGGCTCCTCAAACGCTAAGAACAGAGCGGCTTACGGCCCCGCGCTCCCACTTCGGGGAGTAGGTCCCGAGAACCCTGAAACCCCAGCCAGGAGGAACAGACACCCCACGCCCATAGCAGCACTACAAGAGCTCCGATCCGGAAGCAGATGAGGGGATACAAAAGCTGGGGTACATTCACACAATGGAATACTATTTGGCCATTAAAAAAAGGAAATCTTACCTTTCGTGACCACGTGGATGGACCGGGAGAGTATTATGCTAAGTGAAATAAGCCCGTCGGCGAAGGACAAGTACCACATAATTTCACTTACCTATGGAATCTAAAGAATAAAATAAGCAACATAGAAACAGACTCACAGCTACAGAAAACAGATTGACAGCTGGCAGAGGGGAGGGGTTGGGGGCTGGTAAAAAGCTGAGGGATTGGGCAGTACAACTCGTGGTCGCAGAGTAGCCCCAGAGGTTGGTTGGCAGCATGCAGAGGACAGTCCATGCCGTCGGGATAACGGTGCAGGGCCGGCGGGTGCTGGGGCAGTGGGGGACCACTCTGCGGCACACCTGCAACCGGTCAGAATGGCACTGATTAATGTACACTGTGGTTGAAAAATTTAAAAACTACAGCAACATTGTCAGCCATAGAGAGAGGATCCTATAAGAAAATAAATACGTGGCTGAAGAGGGCGGACCTGGGGCTTGAGCGCGGGTCCCACCAGCCCCTGAAGCCACGCTCCAGGCCCTGCCTCACCACGTCCCCGGAGGGAAGGGGGCTCATGTTGTGAGGGCGCCCCATAAACGTCTCCAGGGACCATGGGTTTTATGGAACCTATCCCCTCTTCGTGCCGCGTGAATCTCCTCCCTGTCCTCTCCCTTCTGTCTAAACCTGTGTCTCTAACAGTTTTTACCAACGTCTGTGTGAAATTAAAATGCCCTTAGAGCACAGAACTTTCACCTTGGTCGACGTTTTCAGCAAGTTAGTGCTTATTTCTAGGCTCCTCCCTCAGCGATACACACGGTTAAGTGACTGAGTGTCCCGGGCAGGAGCCAGAGGCTGGCAGCTGGGTCCCTCCCGTGTCCACGTTCCGACGGCTCTACCCTCACATCCTTTGACTTGTTTCAGAGGTGACTGTCGAGACAGAACTCCTATCCCAACCCCAAGAAAATAGAAAGCCCAGGTGAATTTCCTGCAATAAGTAGTCATTTAATTAAAGAACAAAATTAACAGGAATCAAAATGTTGCAGCTGTATTTTTTGTTAGACGTTATATAAAAAAAGGAGAAGTATCATACAGTAAATCATTTTGTAGAACATGAACTTAAAGAGTTCTCAACTCAGTCGTGATCGGAATAAAAATGTCTTTTCAACATAACACTGAATGAGACCGCGTCACCGTCCCTCCGGCCAGGCCTCGGCGTGGGAGCCGCCCTGCGTGGGCCGCTGGGGGTCAGCCGCAGAGGTGAAGCAGGCTCCAAGGCAAAGCCCAGTTTCTTCTGACAGGTACGCGGGTCTCAGCAGAGCCCAGGGCGGCGGTGACTCCCCTGTGCCTCCTCCTCCCCGCAGCGGGGGTCTCAGCTGACTTCAGGAAAGTTCCCTGATGAGTGTCCAGTGTTGGTATCAAAAGTTAAACACAAATTCTTCTCAGAAGAAAATCTCTAGGGCCTGTGGAATCTAGGGATTATTTTAGAAAGAAGAACTCAAGGTTATACGTGTCGAAGTTGAAAATGCCAAAACCTCCCACAAAGAAATCTGTGCTGTTAAGGCGGCGCCGAGGTCCAACGTGGACAACCCGCCTGGGGGTCCCGCCTCCCGGCCCCTCGGACCCAGTCGGGTGGCCCCGGGTTCCCAAGGCTGCCCGAGACCCATCGGCCAGCCGCTCGCCGGGCGATGCACACAGCACCGTGACGTCAGGGGCAGGGCTGACGAGGCCCGTTACTGGCAATGACGGGGACGCGGTGACCCTCGTTTTTACAGTTGGCCATGTGTCCGCGCTTTAATGCACGCAAGAGAATCTATGACTGCCTGAAAATACTGTGACTTTTAAAACTTGGCAGGAAATCCTCAAACAGGGTAGCATAAACATCACTATTTCCTGACGGCCAGGTTTCGGGCTCACTCAGGATCCCGCCGTCTAAGAAAGCCGTCGAGTTCAGGGGAGAAGACCCCTTCAGTCACAGCTCTTGAGAAGAGTCACGGGAAGGTGTAGCGAACACCTGGACATCACCGTACACAGAATACGTGGGGATCATTCCTCCTTCTAACAGAGGGGACATCAAACCCTGTGGGCCCTGGACGTTCGGCTCAGAGGCAGAGCGTCAGCCCGGGGACCAGCGAGTCGCAGGTCTGATTCCGGTCGAGGCTGTGCCTAGGCTGTGGCTCATCCCCAGCCCTGGCCAGGGTCCTGTGGGAGGCAAGCAGACGGCGTGTCCTTCTCACATGGATGTTTCCCCTCCCCCCCCCCACTCGATCTGAAAATCAATGGAAAACTATCCTTGGCTGAAGATTTTTAAAAAGTAAACAATACTGATTTAGAAGGTTGGATGGGAGACTCTTTCTTTCCTAAATGTTTCTGTGTGTTCTGCACAATCAAACACAAGATGACCCGTCCCTTCCCACACACACACCAGCCTCGGGGAGACTTCAGAAATCTGTCAACTCTTATTTCACCCTTTCCTCCCGTCCCTGCAGCCCCTTCTCCCGACATCTTCCTCGTGAAACTTGTAGGACAGCCCCGCATGGCACCCAGGCTCGGCTCAGCCAGGCAGCCTGAGCCCCCGGAACGACTGCGGTGCCGCCGGCAGGAGCGAGAGGGAAGGGCCGGTCGCCCCAGCGTCAGGCGGGCTGTCCCCTCTCCCCGGGTCCGGGCTTCAGCTGCTCGGGACCCAAGGAGCGAGGACAAAACACCTGCTTTGACGTGGAAGGTGGTGGCTCGGGCCACCTCTTTGGGATGCAGGGCACACGAGAGCGTCGCAGGGTGACCACTCGCGGGGGCCACAGAAAGGGGGGGTGCTGAAAGATCTCGAACCCCCGAGCAGAGACAAGTCCGCGCACGATCGGCGAGAACCAGGCCGCCCGGGGACCACGCGGACCGAGAGGGGCGCCCTGGCGTGCGTCTGGGTTTGGAAGAGTGGCCCAGCGTGTGCCCGCTGGGGTGCCCGCTCCGGGAGGACGGGGCGCCTTCACCTGGGCGCCGAGAACGGTGCTGAGGTGCTGGCCAGCGGAGCGCACGTGCCCTGCGGGCCCTGGGGAGCCAGCTTGTGTCGAAGGTGTGAATACAAATGCTGCTGAGACCGGCAAAGGGGAACGGGAGGGTGGGGGTGCTCAGCACCCCCAGAAATGCAAATAGGGGCGTTCTATACGCTGGGAGAGTGGTGACAGCAGAGGAGGGGGGTTAAATATATAAGCACGTTACTTTCATTGCCCCGGACAAATGGACATTAAGCCGGAGACAAGCTGGTGACCGGGCAGTCTGGTCTGCGCACACGCACACCCCTCACCGGGCTGCAGAGACCGCAGCCCCGAGGCTGCTTTTCCATTTACCTTCAGATAGAGCTGGAGGGGGGAGGGGGAGGGGGGGAGAAGCAGGGGGAGGGAGAGAAACCTCCACGTGAGAAGACACATCGACTGCCTGCCTCCCGCACGACCCTGACCAGGGCCGGGGACCAACTGCAACTGAGGTACGCGCCCTTAGCGGGAACCGAACCGGGACCCTCTGGTCCTCGGGCTCCCGCTCTAACCGCTGAGCAACACCAGCCAGAGCCGGACGGGTGCATTCTGGCTGTTCACACAGTTCTCCGCGGAAATTCTGAGTTTGCTCCCCGAACACACAGCTCCCTGCGGCCTTTTAGCTCCAGAGCGCGCGGGGAGGGCCTCGAGATCCCGGACGGAAGCCTGACCTGGTCAGATGCTTGCTGGACGCGTGCACCTCCATCTCGGTGCTCTTGTACTCGTTGAGCTCTTTGCGGATCGCTGCCTGAAATGAACAGCAGCGCTTCGGTTAGAGGACGCGAGGCGGCGGACTCTGCTACTCGGGGACGTGTTTCCCAGAGAGGAAGGAGCAGCTTTCTGTTCAGCCTCCAGACTCGGACAGTCATCGCCCTGCCAAGCTGGTGTGGGGAAGGGTCCGCGGATTTATGAGCTGTGCCGGGGCAGGGAGAGGCCCGGACGACACTAGACTGACGAAGCAGGAGCTCCCCGACAGTCAGCGCAGCCTGGGTGCGCTGACAAAGAAGCCCTTCTAACTTCCGCATGCACTTGTGGGGTGCCATTCGAAACGGAACACGGGCACTGCCCGTGGGTGACAGGAGCCTGTCTCGTCTGGCCCTGCTCCCACTCCCAGGCCCACTCTCCGGAGTATTCTCAGATCAACCCCAGGCCCGGGCCCAGGACACCAGGCACGGCCTCGGGGGCAGGACGGGCTCAGAGTTGGAGACGGATCCTGCTCCTACACCCCCCAGGGCTGCTGACCTTTATCTCTGCCCCCCAGGTCCCCGTGAGCCCATCGACGTGGACGGCCAAGTGCGCCCGCAGAACCCGTGTGCATCCGTGTGCGACCTCGCGCACACGCCCAGCGGAGAGGGGAGTGGCCAGCACCTCCGGCAGCCCACTGGCTGAGTGTCTTCTCTCCGACCTCTTCCCAGAGGCTGTTCATTCTGAGAAAGCGCAGGCCAACTGAAGCCACACCTGCTGGGCTTGACTCCTGCCGGACAACAGCGCCTGAGCATGCCCAACGCACCCCTAGTCACCGTCGCTCCTCTCCCGGATGGATGGCAGCGACGCCCCTCTCCTGGCGTTTTTTTGAGGACCACATGAAATGACAGCTGATGGGCGGTTCAGTGCAGGGCAGAGTCAGGCTGGGCGGACGCTCGCTCGCCCCTTGGCCCGGGGACCCACCGCCTGCTCGCTCCCTCCCTGCCTCTCCGGCCGTGGGCTCAGATGGACCAGGCAGCCGCCAGAGCCACCTGGACCTGCACTGGAGCGGCAGGCTGGCCCCAGCCCCCCTGCACCCCTGCAGCTCGCTTTCCAAAGCCCGGTCCTCGAGTCCCTTTCACCACCCTGCCTACTTGATTCACCCTCAGACTAGGGGCCCTGCTCCCACATTCTTGACATTCCCGACTGGCGGATTCCCTGCGGTGGGGCCTCTGTGCACTGGGAGGTGTCTAGCAGCCTCCCTGGGCTCCAACCCACTAGGTACCAGTAGAACCCCCCCCCAACTTGTGACACCAAACATCTCCCAAGACACAGCCAAGTGTCCTGGGGGCCAAACTGCCCCCTAGTGGAAAATAGGACTCGAACCCAATCACCCTTGTGAAACCCACACCTGGTCAAAGCACAGCGCTGACTTCACACACGCCCGCTGCCTAAGCACACACGCCCCACGTGCCACGGGGCCTCGCCTACGGGCTGCACCCCGCCAGCCCAGAGAGGCCGCCCCTACCTTGTCGGCTGCCGACAGCCTCGTCCAGGGCTTGTCCGCCCGGCGGTCATAGTCCTGGGCTTTGGCCACCTCCACGTAATCACTGAACCGGATCAGAATTTTCCTGTCTCTCAGTTCGTCAACGGTGGGCCTCTGATTGAGCTGGAACAGAAGGTCACCCCAGTTAGGTAGGACCTGCCAACCAGCTTTCTTCAAGTTCTCGGAACAAACAGCGCCGTGTTATAAAGAAACATCAGCCCGGCCGGTGTGGCTCAGTGGTTGAGCGTCGACCCTGCACCAAGAGGTTGGTCGCTGGTTCGATTCCTGGTCAGGACATGTGTCCAGGTTATGGGCCCGATCCCCAGTGGGGGGCATGCAGGAGGCGGCCAGTCGATGTTCTCTCTCATCAATGTTTCTCTCTCTCTCTCCCTCTCCCTTCCTGTCTCTCTAACATCAATAAAGAAGCCCTGGTCAGTTTGGCTCAGCGGTTAGAGCGTTGGCCTGCGGTCCGGAGAGACCTGGGTTCGGTTCCCGCTAAGGGCATGTACCTCGGTTGCAGTTTGTCCCCGGCCCTGGTTGCTCGTGCGGGTGGCAGCCACTCAATGTGTCCCTTTCACATCGATGTTTCTCTCTCTCTCTCTCTCTTCCTCTCTCTCCCTCCCACTCTATCTGAGCAAAAAGTGGAAAAATGTCCTCAGGTGAGGATAAGAAAAATAAAAAAAAATAAAATCAATAAAGAAAAAAATCAAAACAAAACCCATGAAACTCACACTGCGAACCAGGACCTAAGTGCAGACCATCTGGGTGCAAACAGGCGATGTGCCGGGCGAACCTCCACCCCTCCCCTAACGGGCCCTCAGCGCGGCTCTGACGCCCTGTGGACCGGCAGTGTGTCCCCAGCTCAGGGACAGGACGACAAATTTCCGTACACATTTCAGGAAGGTGCTTCTTTTAGTTTTAGAGAGAGTGGAAGGGAGGCGGGGGGAGAGAGAGGCGTCGATGTGAGAAAGGCACATCGACTGGTTGCCTCCCGCACGACACCCATCGGGAATGTGCCCTCGACCGACCGGGAATCAAGCCCGCGACCCTTCGATTTCAGGCCACGCTCTAACCACTGAGCGAACAGGCCAGGGGCTGGGAGTTGCTTCTTTTCAACTCTCGTTAGATAAGCTTTTTAATAACGTTACTGATAAAATTAAAATGCTGACCCCAACTCGTACTCATAAGTCAACCGCAAGCGCAGGAGGACTATTCCTTTAAGCAGGACAATCTTGTACTGTCGTCATCACAAAGCCCAGCGGAGGCGCGAGGGAGGGGACCCGGGAGGAGAGGCCTGGGATTCGGGAAGGTCTGGGTTTCCAGGTCCGAGCTCACAGTCCTTACCTGTGTCGGTCAGTTCTAACTCCACTCTCCGAGTCCCGCCACAAGCCCTCGGGGCTGATCGAGTTTGCCACCGGGAGCTTCCAGACCAACTCAAGGTCACCAGAGTCTAAACGGTGACCCCCAGGGGAGCTTTCTTAGGCACTGGGTCAAGACCCCAAACGAAGGAGCAACGTGCCTGGTGGACACCTGGCTTCCTGGAAGCCAGGGCAAGGCCACTGACGGTCTGGCTGCACGAGGACCTCAGCCGGACGCAGGTCCGAGTCACACCAGCGGCACCGGGTTTCGTGCCCCTGGTGAGCTCACCCGCTGTGCCCAGGACCCCAGCCTTCGGCCACGGAGCAACGTCCTGCGTCACCCTCACTACGGACCAGCGCTCCTCTCGTCCGCCTGCCCCTCCCCCGACACTCAGGAAATGAGATGAGAGGTGGACAGTACCTTTCTGGTCAGTCTCTGCTTGATTTCTCTCCTTTCCTCCTGCTCCGTCTGGTCGTTCCTTTCTGTGGATTAAAAGAGGAGGAGGAGGGAGAGAAGCTGGTGAGACTCCCTCCCCGGCGGGCGGTGGGCTCCGGGGTGCTCAGGTCGCCCGGCAGCCGGGTCCCACGGCCACGCTGTAGGTGGCGTGTCCACAGCAGTGTGCTGCTCAGGGGAGCGTGGTCTCAGGGCACAGAACCACTGTCCGAGGGAAGCAGCCTGCCCGGGCCCTGCTGTCCCCATCATTTCATTGCTGCGGGAGCCTCTGCAGGAGCCGGGGAGCAGCTCCCCCATCGGACCTCCGGTGTCGGGTTACGTCTCTGAGCACAGCGGGCAGAGGGCCGCCCGTCCTAGGGTGACGTCCACACACCACACATCCGTGCCCACGATGAATGAGTGCTAATGGAGCTGTGACTGCGGCTATTTTTTCCTTTTCCATTTACTAGGTAGACAGGCTTCTATTTTTAGCCAACCAGTGTCAGCCGAGGAACACACTCCTCAGAATCCGGGCAACCTATGCCGGCTGCGTGTCTCCAGGGGGGAGTTCCCAGGCACACACGCCCTGGAGCCCGGCTGACTCCCCGGCAGAAGCCGGGACACTCACTGACACCCCAACAGGCCCTGCAAGGGAGCCCAGGTGTCTCACCCTGACTGGCTCTGCTCCTGGGCTGGGGCTACCAGCCTTCAATGCGGCACAGCCACCCTGGGGAGCTAAAGTGGGAGCTAAGAATAGACGGGGCGGAGGTGTGGGAAAGGGAGGCCTCCCCAGGAGCCCTGACGCGGCCTATTTCTGGCTCTGCTGCTGAGTGAAGCCCAGCCCCCGGCTCCTCGTCAGCTCCTAGAAACACCCCGGGCTCCGGAAGGGAGGCCTGTTGCGTGCATTTAGCGTGACCGCACGTGGCGTCTGGGGGCTGGGCGCACGGGGCTCCACGGAGGAACCGCTGGTCTGTCGTAATCGTTTGTACAGAGCAAGCGTCCCCTCGCCTCTGGGTGGCTCACAAAAGGGAACCCACGTAATGAGCCAGGGGCAGCCACAGCTACAAGCTCTAACCAGGAGGCTGAGGACGCAGTTCCGAGTGTGCCGCCCCCGGACAGAAGCCAGCCAGGAGGGATGTCCACGAAGAGACGCAACTGTCCCTCGGACTCCTTCCAGGCCCAAGCACAGCCTCGGGAGGAGACACAAACACAACTGGCTATTTCTTTTTTTTTTTTCACGCGCAGACAACGTTGGCCTTGTCACCAAGCTCACGTGACCACAGGTGGGCACCAAGAAGCCCGCCCGGAGCCTCAGCCAGGGTCTGCGGGTCTCTGGTCTCAGACGCAGAGCCCCTGCCTCACAGGAGGGAGGGGGCCTGGAGCCCAGTCCCAGATTTTCTGGGAAGTGCCAGGAGCTGGGAGGTCCCACACGAGTCCCCCGTAAGCTGTGAGGGAGGCAGCAGCCCTGAGGCAGCAGCGGGGACATGAACGGCAAAGCGGGCAACCTGGGGGTGACCGTGAGCTCTGTCCACTCGCCCAGACCCACGTTAAGGAGTCCCAGCTCCGAGTGCCGCCAGCCACCCGCTCCCACTCAGGGAGCCACACGGGGGAGCACTTCCGAGCGACTGAGCGGGAGCAGCCCCAGAGCAGGGGCCGCCAAAGCCTGTGTCGTGGGCCCAGGTGCTCTCCACCGGACCGGAACCGGCTCCTCTGCTCCCGCCCCCACAGGACGAACGCCCAGCACACACTGGCAGTGAGAGGCCAGCTCTCCCCCTCGGGCTCCCCCTCGGGCTCCAGAGGCTTCCATGGCCGGAAGGGCCGGCCACGGCCACGTGCGGGAAACCCACGCCTTCCTGTCCTATGGCGCCGGGAGGTCCCTGGAGTCGGTCACCTTGCCAACTCTAGTCCTGAGCACTGGTCCTGTTTGTAAGGCTCCTGGACTCTTCACAAAGCCAGGGATGGAGGCCCAGGGGAGGGAGGTCCGGGGGGGGGGGCGGGAGGGAGGCCCAGGCCGGCCGCCCCGCAGGACCGGTCACGAGCCCCGAGGAGCCGGTCCCTGGACAAAGGCTGCCCTGCAGACCCCCGGGACCGCGGCACCGCCTGAGTCTGGTCGCTGACGAGTCCCATGCACGTCCTGATCTATGCCTTTTGGGACATCTGGAACCTGCAAGCTTTACAGGTGAGTGACTTAATTTTTTTTAATTTCGAATATTTGGAAACCTAGCTTGACCTCCGCCTGCCCAGGGACTGAGCATCTCATCAACGAAACGCTTCTCTTCACACCTCACACGCGTGGACCAGCTCAAGTGACGGATGGAGTGGCCGTATCTTAAGTTAAAAAAATAAAACAAAAAATTCTGAATCGTCAGGTTGGATATTTCTAATCGCCTACAAACCGTCCGAGGCAAAGACAGGAGGAAACCGGGTCCGACTCCGCCCCAGAACCAGAGCCCGGCTCTGCTCTCTGACCCAAAGGCCGCTCGTATCTGTAAAAAGATGCTCCCGGAGCAAAAACCAAACCCGGAGAACGTCTGCCGTGTTCGCCACATAAGGAGGGGAAGAAACGGAAATACTTAAAAAGTTCAGGCCCCAAGACAACACACTTTGCAAAACATGGTTTGAAAACCAAAGCCTGTGACCCTGATAGGTAAGAACGAGCTGAGAAGCACTTTGGAAAGGGCTTTGCCCCCCAAGACCGGCAGCGACTGGAATGAGCTGGAACGGTTTCTGCCCTGTGGAGACCACCTGTACACCTGCGTCCAGGCCACGCTGACGTCACACACCTAACGGGGGACACTCAACAGTGAGTGTGAAGCCAGGAGGGGAGGGTCCTAAAGCCACATCCCCTGGCTTCCTGGTTCCTTTGAGCGGTCTCCCCAGGGAACAACGGGGGGCGGGTCCTCCTGCAGACCGGGACCCTGTCTACCCGCTGCCTGTGCCTCTGTGGCCCCTGGGAAGGAGCCCCGTCCACACCTGCCAGGGGCACCTGCCTGAAACCCAGCACAGGGAAAGGAGGTTGGCTCCTCCCCGTTAGGGCTGCAGGACTAATAACCCGGCGCAGTGCCAGCCTCCACTGTGCCAGGAGGGGCTTCTGCCCCTACAGGTTAAAAGGGGGTGCTTCTGGGTACATGCACTTTCCTGCAGGCTATCAGACTGCTCAGCTGCTCAGACCCGAGGATGGAGGACAGAGGAGGCAGGAACAACTGGGGTTGGGGGGGGAGCCTGGGCAGCCGCAGCTCAGCACACGTGGGGACCAGGGGATCACCGGCTACTCACGCTTCAAGATGTTCCTCCTCTCCAGCTCCTCCACGGCAGGTCTCTGGCTCAGCCGTCTGCGGAAAAACACCAGGATCACATTTTGCACCATGGTGGCTGCTTGCGAATTCCACTGGGGTCGGTCGGGTCGGAGGTGGCTGGTGCGCCCCTTGAGATCGCTCCCCAAAAGCCGCAGAAGCAGGGGACCTCGGGTGGCAGCCTCTCGCCCGCAGGTCCAGTCAGACCCCCCACGGGAGGGAGGTCCCCGCTGTCAAGGGGCTCCAGGGGGAGCGCACGCGCCCCCTCTCCAAGGGCGTCTCCTCATGTCCAGGTTTGCGCCCAGCCTGGCGGGTCGGAGGGTCGCAGGGCCCCGCGCTCGCCCAGCGCCGAGATCCGCTCAGGAAAGGCTGCCTCTGGACGCGAGCTGCGGACCTCCCCGGTCAGGGGCACCTGCGCCCGCCCCGCTCCTGGAGGCTCCGCGAACCAGCCTCCGGCGCCAGCGCGACCGAGCGCGCCCCGCCCCCCGCCAGGAGCCTGCAGCGCGGGAGGCGCGCACCCCGCGGGGATCCCCCTGCAGCGGCACCCACGAGCGCCCGGACCGCCTTCCCGCGACCTGGAGACAAGCGATGTTTTCCTCCCATCCAGGGCGTTGGAAGCCGCAGCCCAGAAATACGTAAATAAATAAGGGCTTGTCAGCAGAGGAAGGCATAATTAGCCAGAATCAGCGCCCAGCCCCGACTGTCTGTGTAACTCCGATCACGCGGTGCCTGGTCCCGGCCAGGAGCCTCCCAGATCCGATCTTTCAGCCTTTGGGGGCACAGGCTTCGCCCACAGAGGACAGTTCCGCAGAAATACTGGTCTGCGCCCAGCCCTGTCCCAGCACAAAGCCCAGGGCGTGACGGGCCGCGCTCCTCCCACGCTGAGGCCCCGCGTGTCTGCCGGCTCCGGGGGTGGCCGCTTCAGCACCCGGCCTGGACGGCTGGGGTGACAGGGACCTGCCCCAACTCCCGCTGGGACCCAGGGCTGAGGGCCTCCCGGGCTGCCCAGGGCCAGGAACCCACAACGAGCTCGGGAGCAGGACGCCCTCACCTGGTCCATGTCCCGAATGCCATGCACGGGGCACTGAGTGACCAGGAGCACAGGCCTCCCTGGCACCATCCTGACCCCGCAGTGATGACCGACAGAGGCCCGCCCTGCCCTTGGAAAGCTTGGGGAAGGAAGACCCACACAGATGGACGAGATGGACCCAGAGAGCAGCCAGGGCCATGGAGGAAATAGTGGGGAGAGGGGTGTCGGGGAGGGGGTGAAGGTGAGACCCATTACAGCTGAGACCCCAGGAAGAGGAGGAGCCAGCCAAGGAAGGTCACTCTGCTGGACACTGCTTCCTAACTGCTCACATGCTGGGCTTGCCGTGGGTGATCACGGCAGGCTTCACGGAGGAAGCGACTTCGACCCAGGAGTCCTAGAGAGTCCGGGAAGGACAGCCTGGGGGTCGGCAGGGGTGCCGCCCTCAAACCTGAGAAGCACCCACACCTCCAACCACAGCCTTTCCTGGCTGGGGCCCTGTCTCCTCTTCGAAAATGGGACAAGAGAGAGCCCCAGGGGGTGGGCGGGGTCCAGGGCCCCAAGGGGTTCCCCAGCTCCTGTGCCCCAGGCCACTCCCTCTCCTGACTCAGAAAATGTCAGGGCTGATGCTGCTGGTGGTGAAGGGCAGGTGTCGCCTGCAGCAGGGAAACAGTCTATTCCTGACTCCACTCAGAAAGGAAGACCGTGGGGCGGGGGAGACGCTGGGAAAAGGAGGGCCAGGCAGAGAGGGACCTGCCACCTCCCAGCCTGGTCCCCACCTTTGCACCGAAGGGGGGGATGCAGGGGCTGGGGACCCTGCGGACAGACCTTGGGGGCTTGAGCAGAGGTGGAGACACCTGGTAAGGGGCCGGGGACAGGGTGGCAGGTGTGGGGGATCACCTGGGGCACGGGAACCAGCCCACATCCCCGGCCCAACGGGGGCTCCCCAGGCCCTCCCGCCTCGCCTCTGACAGATCTGGAGGGAAGCCCCTCCCACACCTGACCCTGCGCTGAGTGTGGGAGGGATGGAGGAGACCCCACGAGGGAGCAGGTGGTGGAGGACCAAGGGAAGGAGCGGAGGGGGCAGCGGACCACACCACCAACTCTGGGTGACCAGGACCCTGGGGTTTCAGAATCAAGGATGTGTTTGTCCCATCCACAGGCCTCCGGCTATCAGACTCCCCTGGGACCAGTGCCAGGGCCACACGCAGGCACAGACTCCAAATGCAGGTCCCAGCTCTGCCTCCTGCCTGGGGGGACCGGGGCTGCCGCCCTCCCTGTCTGAGCCTCCAATTCTCTGGGCCTGTGAACCCTGTGAACCCACGGGCACGGAGGTCACCAAAGCCCAGGCTGGGCCCCAGCTGCCGGCATCGCCCCACTCAGAGTACCCCCACCCCACTTCCTCCACCACCGGGGTCCCCGCCGACGTGGGAAGTCGCCCCAGTGAGGAGCAGGAACCAAGCAGACCACCTTCCTGGAGAGCGAAGCCTCAGCCGGGAACACGCGGCCCCACCCCCACGGGCAGTGACGAGTCACCAGCCTGAGTCACCGGGGAGCCCTGGCGTCCCTGCCCCGAAGGGATTCCCCAGGGGGCGACTTCCAGCTGCCACTCAACAGTGATTCCTCCTGCCAGCCACAGGGGCCTGTGCTGAGCGCAGGGTCCGGGAACACAAAGGAGCCCGGGTCCTCCGTGACTGGAACCTCCTGCCACGCCTGGCCGTCCACAGTGATCTCAGGAAGCAGGCCTTCCAGAGCCAGCCACGCGCCTGGGCCCACTCTGTCCACTGCCCCTCGCTGTGTGACCCAGTACCTCTTAGCCAACCTCTCTGAGCAGTTACATCTTAGTGTGAGTGAATCAGGCAAAGCACAGTCCCCAGTCCCCTGCACGTGGCCGGAGTTCAGGAAACGGGAGCAAGCCGTCACTGGGCTCACAGGCGCCCGGCCCCGGGGACGCGGGCAGGTACATCCAGTCCCTGCCAGGAGCTGAGCCGGCAGCGGGCCCGCCTGTCTCGGACCCGGGGACCAGGGCAGGTACGTCCAGTCCCTGCCAGGAGCTGAGCCGGCAGCGGGGCCGCCTGTCTCGGACCCAGGGACCAGGGCAGGTACATCCAGTCCCTGCCAGGAGCTGAGCCGGCAGCGGGCCCGCCCGCCTGTCTCGGACCCGGGGACCAGGGCAGGTACATCCAGTCCCTGCAAGGAGCTGAGCCGGCAGCGGGGCCGCCTGTCTCGGACCCAGGGACCAGGGCAGGTACGTCCAGTCCCTGCAAGGAGCTGAGCCGGCAGCGGGGCCGCCTGTCTCGGACCCAGGGACCAGGGCAGGTACGTCCAGTCCCTGCCAGGAGCTGAGCCGGCAGCGGGCCCGCCTGTCTCGGACCCGGGGATCAGGGCAGGTAGGTACATCCAGTCCCTGCCAGGAGCTGAGCCGGCAGCGGGCCCGCCTGTCTCGGACCCGGGACCAGGGCAGGCAGGTACATCCAGTCCCTGCCAGGAGCTGAGCCGGCAGCGGGCCCGCCTGTCTCTGCAGGTCCAGTGACTCATCAGGCTCGCTCAGTCCTCGATGCCCCACCAAGCAACCTCCAAACCCACCGCACCACCTGCTCCCCGGGTCTGGGGTCATGCTCACTGACGCTGGAGAGAGATGATGCTGTCACCTCGTCGTAGAAAACATGCTGTACCTTCCTGGCAGATCCCCAAGCAACCGAGGAAAACAAAGAGCCGCGGACCCACCAGATGTCTCGAAGGTCGGACTCGCTCCAACCTGACATCCAACAAGGCGGCCTGCGCCCCCGTGACTCGCCTCCCTGCACACCCCGACTGGTACCATGTACTCCAAGACCCAGACTGGTGCTGCGTCCTCCGAGGCTGTGATGTGGCCACATGTCCCCTGAGTTGGGAGCGTGTTTCCTGCTTCTCAGCTGCTTCCGTCAAAGCAGAACGTGTCCCCCACGTCCAGGACCCTGCTGGCCTCCCAGCCCCCCAGCAAGGCCAGTCGCCCCCCCCCCCCCGCACCCACAGGGCCTGCCTCCGCCTGATCCCACGAGCTCCTTCAGTGTTTCTGTGGTAAGTCCTCAACGGCGCCCTAAAAACCAGGGCCTTCTTGACCTGAGAGGCCGTGCGGTATTCGGGGCCCCTGGCCACCGCCGCAGCAGCAGGGGGCAGCAAGTTAGGTCCTGGGGGGCATCTCTGGACAGAACAGACCTGCTGTCCGGGTGCCCTGAGGCCTCCCAGCAGAGAGAGAGACTGAAGCCACGGCCGCAGGCTGGACTCCCCAGAGGGCTGGGAGGCAAGTCAGGCAACATGTCCTTCATCACAGAAGGAGGCAAACAGAGCACTTACTAAACACGAGCTGTCTTTGTTCCCAGATCTCAAAATCCGAAGAGCGGGTCCCCGCCCGCGCCAGCCAGTGGTGGCCATGCCCCCCCATCGCCCCAGGTTGCGTGGGGGCTGGCGTCCCGGGCGGGACCCGAGGGTCTGCCATACCCCGGCCCTGGCCACCCCCAATGTCCACCGCGCTCAAGCCTCCCCTTCCGTCCAGGCAGAGTCCGCGCGAGGCTCCGAGCTGGCCACACGCGAGGCCCGCTCGCCCCTGCCCAGCAGGAATGAGCCCCGGACGCCCGGGAGAGGGGGCCCGGGATTCCTAAGAGCTTCCCGCCTACGGACCGAAGACCAGACGGGCGTGGACATGACGAAGGGAACGAGGAAGGTGAGGACAAGACAGATGCTGATGAAGAGGACAGCGGAGATGCTGGAGCTGAGGGGGCAGAGATGAAGGTGATGAGGAAGATGAGGTGACGATGGTGACTAACAGGTGGTAAGTCGCGGGGCGGGCCTCCTGTGCAGCACCCGGAGTCCTGGTGACCGTGAGCTGGGCACTGTTCGGGGACCGGGACACAGCGAAGGGACGGCTTCTGGGGGCAGTGAAGACGCCCTCGAGCTGTGGCGAAGGGTACACAGCTCTGATCCGCTCGAAGCACTGGGTGGCGCAGGGAGCTCTCCCAGGCCGCCCAGAAAA